ACGACTTTCTCAAGTTCCGAGGCGTACTTGACCTCGTCCACATCGAACTTCTTCAAGGCATCCTCAGGCAGTAAAGGCAAGCCCGACCACATGACATCGTCGTAGTCAATGTCGGGCAAGAACAACGTCAACTTGTCGTTGGCGGCATCGTACAAAACGTGGCTTCCGGGAATCTCCACTCCCAGCAAGTAGAAGAAATAACGGTTCTGGCGGATCGGCTTTGTCTGATCACAGTACTGCCAGAGCTCAAGGTCCTCTCCACTCATGAAAAACGCCAACTTGTCGGCCAGCTTCAACTGCTTTTTCTGTTTGAAATGACCCAAAACACGGGCATTGTGCTCACGGGCCGGGTACTTGTGGCCCACTAGGGAAGAAGGTCCTTCGGTGCTCATGGTTGAAGATGGAGAAAAGGTGCCGCACTGGCGCTATATAGGCAGCATCTGCCACGGCACTTTTCTTGTGCACGGCACAATGAGGCACTTTGGCGTGTGGGGGGGAAACGAGAGAAAAAAGGGTGATTTGTGGGGCCGTTTGAATAGACGGCTATTGCCGGATAACGGTTGGCAGGGGCAGGTGCGTTCGGTGCACTAGTGGCTGCAAACATCTGCGCAGAGCCTGAAGGTGGTGATGGTGTTGGGGAGTGCTGGTTGAATCTATGGGTGATTAAGATTTTTTTTTTAAAAGATATGTTTTTGATTGGTTACTGGCGGAAGGCTTCTTCTTGAAAGGGGAAGCTGGGACGGCTGGGTAAGACGGGGTGTTGGCATTGTTCTGTACGGCACCATGGATCAAGAAAAGCACGGACTGGGCAGCATCTAGCCGATGGGTGTTGGGATTTGCTTGGGCAGCTTTGGATGGAAATTTTTGGAGAGTCCTTGAGCTGGGGGACGTTGAGGTTTTGGGATTTTGGAGCATTTGGTTGTATGGGTGGTGTGTTGGTAGTGGTGGTGGATTGGTACGGAATCGATCTGTAGGATATTTCGTTGATTTTTGGCTTTTAGCGAGTTGGATGATAAGTGACTCTAATTTTGGCTCTTCACAGTAGCAAAAGATGGCCACAGTTTCTAAAAGAAATGCGTTATTTCAGAATATTGGTGTACTCTGCTATGTTTGCAGCCATTTGAATACCCTGGACCTTTGGGTGCAACATGGTTTGAAAGTTTCCAATTATATTCTAAATGCGTGGCTCCTTACAACATTCTTCTAATGAAAAGAACTTCATTGAATAGGAATTCAGCTTGGTCGATTTAGGTTCAGAAAAAGCGATCAATTCACTCGGTGGTCTACAAATCTCTATGTAGTTGCGCACAACTAGTAAGTGATTCCCACTATATGAGAGCATTGACGAAATACTTTCAAAACACAAATATCGCCGAGAACCCTAGTTTCAGGAAATTTTTCTAGAAACTGTATTTTGAAAGTCTTTAGCTATATTTTGACCAATATATGCTGGAACATTTGATCCAAACCCGACATTCTCGAACCCTATAGAGCAGGTGAGTAGCACCATGAATCCAATCCAACACCACTTCCACCTTGAATAAAAAGTCAAAACTTCTAAAAATATTTCCACTTCCCCCTCTACCTCCGAATCCACAAATGCAACTATCGTCCTATCCAAATCAGAATGGCCTTCCACCACCTGTAGTGCATACACCGGCTTGCCACTATCAATGCGAACAACCATAGTCCAACACCAACCACACCATGGAAAGATTACAGAGATTGCTCGGAGGCAGCAATGGCCTTGTACAAGGCGGAGCCGCTATGAACGACGCTCCGGCTATAGACAATGCTGAAACAGTGTACATTTCGTCGTTGGCGTTGTTGAAAATGCTTAAACACGGCCGTGCTGGTGTCCCCATGGAAGTGATGGGCTTGATGCTCGGTGAGTTCGTGGACGACTTCACGATCCATGTGATTGATGTTTTCGCCATGCCCCAGTCGGGAACTGGTGTGTCTGTGGAGGCCGTTGACGATGTTTTCCAAACCAAAATGATGGATATGTTGAGACAGACTGGTAGAGACCAGATGGTGGTGGGATGGTACCACTCGCATCCTGGTTTTGGATGCTGGCTTTCGTCGGTCGATGTGAACACACAGCAGAGTTTTGAGCAGTTGAACAAGAGAGCCGTTGCCGTTGTGGTGGACCCTATCCAGTCGGTCAAGGGTAAGGTGGTGATTGACGCATTCCGTACGATCGACGCCACCACCTTGATGAGAGGCCAGGAACCTCGTCAATCGACATCGAACGTCGGTCACTTGAACAAGCCTTCGATCCAGGCGCTCATCCACGGCTTGAACAGGCACTACTACTCGTTAAACATCGACTACCACAAGACGCTGTACGAAACCAACATGCTCATGAACTTACACAAGAAGCTGTGGCAGAGCGGCTTAGAGATGGCCGACTACAACCACGCTGACCACGAAAACCTAGAGAATATCCAGAGCTTAGTCAAGATCGCCAAGCTATACAACGAGAGGGTCGCCGAGGAGAAGGAGTTGCTGGAAGAGCAGCTAAAGACTCGTTACGTCGGCAAACAAGACCCAAAGAAGCATTTGGCCGAGACGTCAGAGAAGGTAATCGAGGAGAATGTCACGCTGTTGTTGACGAGCAACGTCAACTCTCTTGCCATTCAGTAGTCATCTATATACATGTATCATGAAAATGCTGTAGGCCGTTAAGCGAACCTGTCGAGCACGATTGCCCGGCTTTCTTTGACAATTTGAGAATAAGCGCCCTTTTTGATCATTAGGCCAATATGGGTGCCCTCGCTGAAGAATTCATCAATGACGAAAACAAATGCAGCAGTCTTGAGCTCCAAAACTGTGAAAGCGTCAGACGCCTCATTCTCCTTAATGTAATTCCAAATCAACGGGAGATTTCTCTCAAACTGAGACATTTTTTCGAAAAGCAATTTCTGCAAGGCAGTGGCATTGGAACCGTAATAACCGTCGCCAATATCCTTGCTTCGAAGAGCAGCGTGCACTCTGTTTCTATGGAAGATCAGCGGGTATTTAGCCTTGAAGGAGCTCCACTCAGGAATGGCATTTAAAAGTCTTGCAGTCAAGAGGCTCTCGATATAAGCATTATCGCCCGTTTTCAAAAAATCAAACACCTTGTTGAGCTTCGCCGTCTGCGAACCAGCCACATCCGATAGAAGTATGAGTATCCACAAGTCGCTGAGATCGTCAAGAAACAGATTCACAAGGAGCTCAATTATACTGTTTCCAAAATTCTTATTTCTTATAGAGTCCTGAATTTCGTTCGTCTTGATAACAGTAGCGGTGTCTTTTGTCTGTTCCACCAATATAGGCAATTCGTTAGTAGGTGAGGCCTCATACGAAAAGGCCACCATGCTGTACGGAGACTTCTCCTTGTTTTTGGGTAAAGTAAGACCATGACGGTGACAAAGAATCAAACAGTCAGCAAGTGAAAAGGGGTCCGTCGGAAGTGTTTTTCCTTCTATGTGGGCGAGTCCATGTACTCCCAAGGTGAACTTGGAGTCTGTGTCTTTGGACGAGTCCTTCACACCAAAATACACAAAACCCTCATCACTGGGCTCGCTGTAAATCGGAGGATACGTTTTTAGCGGGAACGTATCGAAAAGGGCCTTTATTGGGCCAGGTACTTGGAACATATAGTCGTAGATGTATTATACTTAAGATCTCTGCGCGCACTACATAGTGGTGGGTGGTAATACACGGTCTAAAGCCAGCCAACTTCTGGGCTAATAGACGTCTAGCTGGCAGGTTGAGCGAATCGTCAATCATGTTGGAGGCCCCGCCAGGCTACTACTCCTCCTCCTGAGGCACCAAGTCAATCGACAAGTCGTACCACGTCTCGGAACCGTGCTTGATGTCGCTGGCACCGTGCAACTCAAAGCCAATCTTCTCGTAGAAGGGAATCAACTCCTTGTGGGCCACGAGGATCACCTTGCTGCCCAAGTCCTGGTTCGACAACTTCTGGATGTAGTCATGCATCAACAAGGTGCCCAAGTTCTTTCCTCTCCACTCGGGGTCGATCACCAAGCCGTGGATAGCAATGCTTCTGGCATACTCTACGTGACCTGCGTCCTTCTTCAGGTCACTAGGCAACTCCATGGCGGCCTTGGTCAACTTCTCGGTTGGAGTCTTGGTGGCGGTGATGTGGCCAATCAAAACCTCCTTCACCACAGACAGCTTCACAGGTAAGCTTGGGAAGTCCTCGTTCTCCTGGTCGCCATCGCTGCTCTCCTTGTTGTTGGGCTGAACTGAACCATCCAACTCTTTCGAGGATGCACCTTCAGCATTCAACTTCTCCGCCACCTCTGGCAAGTTGATGGCGTTATATTTGACGCCGTATTCACGGATAAACAACCCGGAACATAGTTCCGGGCAAGCAATTAGTCTATACTGCAACATGTCTCTGGAGGCTTTTTCGTCCTCGGGAAATCCCTTGTTCTCAAGCTGGACACATTGGTCAAGGTCCTCCACCGTCAACGGACGAATGGACAAATTCGGAGGGAAGTCGGACATACTGGCTGGCTTGTGGGGTGTATCAAGGCAGGCTTTGTAGAGGCAAACTGTGACTTGACGAGGTCTGAGATCTATTATGGGTAGTGCGAGGCTGAAAATTAGTATGTCTCTGGGCCGCAACCGCCAACAAGAGAGATAAGGGACTTTCCATGGGTTGGGTTTAAAAGTATAGTGTAGAGGTTCTGGTATGTGTTATTTGATCTTCCATTGATAGGGGATAAGAATTTCCATCGGAATGGAAGACGGGTATAGGGTGGGTGCTAGGTCGAGCCACACAAGGCTTATACTAGCCGTTGCAGCAGATAATGTCTGGACCAAAGACGCTCCACGAAATTGCTTCACATCTCAATGAAGCATTAGCCGTAGAAAGCCTTCAAAGTCTGGCTTGGCCTTGAACTGACGCGCAACTAGAGCTTTCTTAGACCATGACCACTTGCAGTCATTTGCAGCCACGGGCGAAAAGTCAAGGATTCAAAAGATTACTCCAATTCACTGTCCTTTGGAGCAGCTGGAGTGTCCTTGATCAAAGACAGACTCACCTCCCACAAATGAACGATATTGTCATCTGCCACTGAGGCAAGCGTCCAGTCGTCGAATGGACACCAGCTGAGATCCGTGACACCACCGGTGTGACCAGCATGCATCATGAAAATTTCAGGGCATCCGTCCTCGGCATCCTCCTGGGTCTGTTCCTCGCCGATTTTGGCCAAATCCCAGAGAATCACTCTTCTGTCCTGGGATCCCGAGGCAATGATTCCGTCCTTGTGTGGCGAGAATTCGAGACATGTGATAGCATCTCCGTGGCCCATCATGGTGTGAAGTGGGGTGGATGAAAGATTTCTCAAATCCAAAAGATTGATATTGGAGTTGGTGTTGCCTAGGGCGAGGAGATTGCGAGAAAATGGCGAGAACGAAAGCGAGTTGATACCCTTGGAGTCTTCGTTGTAGAATGTCTGCACTGGCTTCTCAGGCGTACGAATGTCGAATAGTAGCAACTGCTTGTCGTCTGAGACAGATCCAAAGAGGTTTTCGTCAAAATGGTGCCATTTGACATCATTCACAATATCTTTATGGTTCAGGAACTTGTGCACAAGGCCACCGTTATTTTCAATATCAGACACATTGGTCAAGGCGACTGTGTGATCGTCGGCCGAGGAAAGCAAATAGCCGTCTTTAAAGCTGTTCCAAGACAAGCCGTAACCGTTTTCCGTGTGAGGAGCCACATGACCGAATTTTTCATTCTTGCTCAAGTCGTAGAAGTCAAGCTCACCACTTCCATTGATAGTGGCGATAATTTCAGGGTTCTGGGGCTTGTAACGTGCTCTGTTCACCTCACTGGAACATTCCACCTTTTGTGTGATTTTGATCTTTGATGAGATCTTCTTTTCGGAGCCCTTGATTGGCAATTGAGTTGATGCAACTTTCAAGTGGTCCTGGGCTTCTCCAGATGTATGGGTTCCAAGAAGCAATTTGGCGTTTATCACGTCGGTTGTTTCCAGAGTAGGTAACCATTGGACAGTGAGGGATGGCCACGTAAGAGCAGTCTCATTGATGAACTCATACATGTATTTACAGTTCTTCCTCCAAAGCTCATATTCATCTTTGATGTCGAGCTGTTGCTGACTGGCGTTTTCTGTCATTATGAATAAATACTGGTGGTGATGTCTAAACGCGCTCCACTGGCGGATGTATAGGAAAATCAACACTTCATCACGTGTGCGTTTTGCAGCCAACTCCGCTACAGGCAGCTAAACATCTTCATTGAAGCTCGAAAGTTCTAATTGTTCATAAGAATCAATGAGCTTTAATGCTGACCGAATATGATCGAAGTATGGTGATCCTGGCTTCTCCGTAGACGCACGTATCTCGTCTTCAGACTCGCTGAAAGACAAGTTGTCAATGTTCATATCGAGGCTCTGATGTGGCAGAGACAAGCTGTGGTGCTGCACTTCTCTGTACCTCATAGAGTCAAGGTCTTGCTCTAAAATATCCTTGATGCCTGTGTCCTTAAGTCTCTTTCTCAACTTGGGTGTTTTAGTCACTCTCACGAAGAAAGACCGAATTCCCTGCTTCTGATGGGCAACAAGCCAGGTCTTGAGAATGTTAGCCGCAGAGGAGTCCAAGTAGATCATATCTTCAAGGTCGAAGATCATGTACTTGGTCATGGACAGGTCTCTGCTTCTTTTCAGAGCAGGATGTGCTTTAACAGAACCATACATCTCCACGCGTTTAAGACGGGCACGAAGGTCACTGGCATTTGTGAATGTCAAAGGCTCTGGAATTCTGATAATTAAGCAGCCTTCAATCTCCTCAAGAGCTTGCAAATTAAGAGGCCGCAAATTGTCCGTGAAAAGGTTGAGCTGCGGAATAGCCAACGATGTGTCGTCACCCTTGGAAGTGTTATACTCCTCGATTCCCTCATCGTAAGATTCCAGATGAAGGTCAGCGTCAAGGAAAGTGTTGGTTCCAGGTACACGTCCCAAAATCTGAATTCTGGATTCAGCTGAGTTGCGAATTACCCGAAGCAAAGAGTACACCAAACCGACGGCAATGCCTGCCTCCATCGAGAAAAATAAAGTGGTCAATACGGTGATGAAGAAAGTGATGAGTTCATCATAGCCCTTACTGATCCAGTGAAAGTAAAGCTCCTTGGGCACCTCGGTGATAAGCGAGATACCGATTACAGCCGTAATTACACTCAAGGTGCTCTTGGGGATGTAGTGCAAATACTCAAGCACAGAATGCAAAGTGACTAAAGATATGACACCCATTATAGCACCAGATACCGTGGTTTTGGCTGAAATAGCATTCACTTTAGATCTGCCATAACCACCAAAGGCAGGCAAAGCACCCATGAAGGAACCAGCAATGTTGATTGCACCTAAAGCCACGAGCTCACGATTTGAGGAAATTGGCAAATCATAGCGGGAGCCCAACGATTTCGATGCGGTTGTCGATTCAAAGAACCCGAGCATGGCACATGTAAAACCAGAGGAGCTGAGCTGGCGAATAAGGGGCCACATCTGCGCCGAGAAGGGGTGGTAGATGTGCAAACTGTCGGGCACATCCTCGATGGTACCCACAATTTCAAGGCCCATGTGGTTCCACCTGAACTTGAAGCACAATAAAGTGGAAACGACCACCACAATCAAAATCTCTGGTATGTAGATGGCGAGTCTCCACCTAGCGTTGGACGAGTTAGAAGCCCTCGACTTGAAAATTCGAATCGCCATAACGACAAAGAAGGCCACAAAGCTCACTTTCATTGTCAAGGCGTGAGACTCTTTGAAATGGTACATCAAGAAACGCACCTTGTCAAAAGGTGAGTGGATGTCCATGTCGTCCAGGTCCCTGATAACATCGTCCATGATGCCATTGAGGCCAAGCATTGAGATGGAGGAGTTGATCACCATAACAATACCCACACCACAAATAAAGCCCTTGAGGAGACTCTCATTGAGCACGTTGTCTAGGAAACCGAACCTGGCGATTCCGAATCCGAGCAACGTGGCTCCACTGACAAGCGTGATTGCACAAATGTAGATGACAGGGTCAATGTTCTTCTTCTTGGCATGGTGCAAAAGCGGCTCCACTGCCTGCCCCACAATCAACGATATGGGTGCCTCGGGACCCACGATCATTTGCGGCACGGACCCAAAGATACAGTAGATCAAGGGCGAGATTCCCAAGGAGTACAACCCGCATGTGATGGGCAGCTTGGCCAACGAGATCGAGTAGGAGATTGCTAGTGGGATCTGGAACAGTGCCAAAGAGATACCACCAATAAGGTCACCCACAAGATGGGAAAACGAGTACTGATGGACCCACGACAAAATAGGAAGATAGTATGGAAGCAACACCGAGAATTTAGGCTGGTTGTGTCTTAGAGCAGGGGTGTACTCTGAGATCAGGGAGCCTTGGTGCCGTAGGGTTCGATCTCCACGTTTAGGCACGTCTATACTAAACGAATGTTCCATTGGCAGCGCCATTTCGCCAGGATGAGATCTCAAACTGAGAAGCTCTGCGTCTATAGGTCTTCTGGAAGGCCTCAAGTGGGACGAGCTGCTCCCATGGTCGGTATCTGACTGCCTTAACAAGGGCTCCTTTTCTCTGTTGACCCTTCGTCCAGATACAAGACGAGCACTTGGAGAAGCAATACGCTCGTCAGGTTTATCCTTGAACTGTCCACGGCCCCTCGGCGTTGGGCTCTTCATGGTGTAGTAGGAGGTGTTGATAAAGAGATCTAGTTCGACCACAATGCGTGCTAGTCGCATTATCATGCATCACGGTTGCGACACATTCTCAGAAAATAAGGTTTATTATTTGCAAGTGGAGTAATAATTGGGCGTTCTAGAGGTTATTTTATCAGAGTGGAGAGTGGTTTTTGTTTTGGTTAGTTGAGAGGTCGGTTGGTGCCTTGACAGTGTAGCCGCACGAGGCTGACATTGACAGCTTGCTGGAGGGGGAGAGACTACAACAGGGTGGGAGAATATAAATCTAAACGCTTGAGTAAAATAAAGAAGAAGACGTTTATTTGTGTTCTGGTGGTTGAAGGTGGGGCACCGTCCAATCAGGTCCCGAGAAATGGTCATCCCAGACAGCTGGTGGGGTAGGTGAAGGAAGCGATATACAAGAGGATTTCGACATATTATTGGGAAGTGTAACGTCATCTCTTCTTTATTTGTCTTCGTTCGATTAACCAAGAGGATGGGGCTTCTTCAGGTGGTTGCAAAATCCATGCGCAGTATGTACAGCCTAGACCGCCTGGGGGTATTAAAGATCAGCAGTTATTAAGCATTTGTCTCTTGGAGATCTAGGCTCTATTGACACTTTCAAGGGCCGCAAGGAGGTTGAATTCGCCTTTGGGGTCGTAAGGAGTTGCCTCGACTGCAATGTATGGTAAAAGCCACACTTCGAGGATGTAACGAGGAGTACTCTAATCAAGCTTCACTCAAAGGGATACATTTTGGAGTATGGCGGAATTGGTCTTTTTGAATGTACAACAACGACACACGGAAATCCGTTCAATTGAAGCTATCTATTTAGGGAGGGTTGTTAGAGCTTCAGGCTACATGAACCGACAGACATGCTTCATATATGCTGAACAGTCAAAAGTGGGCTACCAAATATTACATCTCTCTCGTTTCATATCCCTTAAAGTGATAGTAGTACCTGCTGGTTTTGTGCTATCTCAGAGTCGCCGATATTGGCTCTATCAGCGCCGGGTTTGCAGCCATAGCACACCAAATCACCCCAACACACACAATTTAACCAAAAGACCGTCAAATCACTTTTGAAGCTCACTCAACCGAAAACAATCAAAAAACCCAATATTTCACGCACTTATCGTGTACTTTCTCGTGTCTGGCTCACCGCTTCCAGATAACGCTCTCAGCTCCGAAACCGGCCCTGACGATCAAATCCACAACCACACCTCCATCGTAAATCACCAACTCCATAATTACCATAACCCAAATAGAATCAAAAAACCAATCCCACAAGCCCCAAAACTGACCCCACCTGCTTATTTACACCAACCACCCGGTACCACCACCCGGGCTCGACTGCATGAATCATACCCTCAGAATCTTCAACAACCACTGAACCAAACCCAACATGTTGCGTTCAATCGCCGCCAGAAGACTTTTCTCTTCCACTTTGGCAAGAAAAGATACCCTTGCGTTCATTGAGGTCGCCAACGGCAAGGTCCTGGCGGCTTCTTTGTCTGCCATCAGCGCTGCTAAGGCCATTGGAAAACCCATTCTGGGTATTGTGCTTGGTCCAGAGGGCGAAAAAGGTGCTGAAAGTGCCGCCAAGATCGACGGTTTGGCCAAGTTGCTCGTCGCCAAAGACGCCAAATACGACCACTACCTTGCGGAGGAGGTGGCTCCTTTGCTTAAGGAGCTCGTGTCGAAAAACAGCTACACCCACTTTGTCACCCCTGCTTCTGCAGTGGGCAAGTCGTTTTTGCCTCGTTTGGGTGCTTTGCTTGACGTTCAGCCTGTTTCTGATATTACCAAGGTCGTTTCCGAGGACACTTTCGTGAGACCAATCTACGCTGGTAACGCTTTGGCTACCGTCAAGTCCAAGGACAATGTCGTGCTTGCATCGGTGAGAGCGTCTGCTTTCCCTCAGGCCGAACTCTCTGGCAGTGCTTCCATTGAGGATGTTTCTGAAGCCGTGGAGTCTGGAAACAGAACTGAGTTTGTTGGTGAGGACCTCGTGAAGTCCGAGAGACCAGAGCTCGGCTCGGCCTCCAGAGTCGTTTCCGGTGGCCGTGGTCTCAAGAACAAGGAGACCTTCGACTCCATCATGAACCCATTGGCCGAGAAGCTCAATGCTGCCATTGGTGCCTCCAGAGCTGCCGTGGACGCTGGCTACTGTGACAACTCCTTGCAGGTTGGTCAGACCGGTAAGATTGTTGCTCCCGAGTTATACGTTGCTGTCGGTGTTTCTGGTGCCATCCAGCATCTTGCTGGTATGAAGGACTCCAAGACGGTGGTTGCCATTAACAAGGACCCTGAGGCCCCAATTTTCAATGTTGCAGACATTGGATTGGTGGGCGACCTCAACGAGGCCGTGCCTGAGTTGGTCTCGAAGTTGTGATTAGATAATAGAGTGTTACGATGAGTGGTTTTGTAGATAGAAGCGAGAGTAGTACTGGGGTTGACAGAGTGCAAGAGAAGTCGGAGGAGTAGGGAACTGTTGAGCTCGAGAACTTGGTATATAACGGTATCCCATTCCAATAATTGAATTCTCTTGATATTTTTGAAAACGTTGGTGATTCTAATCGAAGTTCATTAGAGACTTGGTCCGTGCATGCTCAATACATGCTCTCTTAGGATAACAGAACCCCATCTATTCTCAACCTCCATTCCAAGTGATATTCCTCGGTGACCTATGGCTTATAGATGATAAAGAAAAAAAATACGGTTTCTGCTTCTTCTCTATTCCCTGAAAAACATGTACTGGTCGATCGTCAGTAAGCACATTGCATACCATGCGACATGTGGTCCAGTCCCAGTCGGTTCCCCACATCCCCACCTCGAGAAATTTTCACCAAAAACGAAGAAGCAGATGAACCCTTTAATTCAGTAACTATATCATGGAAACCCCCAAAACCCCCACCTCTATCCACCTCATTGCACCCTTCGCCGCATGCGGCAGTGGCTGCGAAAGTCAGCCGTCCATCAACAGACCAACCAGCACCTCGGCAAAACAAAAAATAAAAAATCTTCACCTTCTCTTCGGCACAAATAACGTGATAGTAAAAATTCTCCAATTTACTTCCTCTCCAACAGAACGGCTGTGCCGTTCATCTGGGACCCGGACTCGGTACTACTACAACGCATGCTCGCGAATTTCTCAGTAAACATTACTCCTTATGTCTAGAAGACAAATCGACATCGACAAGGACAGGGCCACCGTGCTCCTCCTTATCAATACCCATCTTATAAAAAAAGCGTACCAGATGTACGTGTCTTTCTTGAGCAACCCGCCGGCGCTTCAGCTGTTGGCTCCTCAAGGTAGACAGCAGGTTTTGGAACAATACCTGAACTTGAACAAAAGACTCCAGTGCAACCTATCTGTCTTGTCATACATCAACGACACGTATCATAATAAGGCTGCTGCACAGCAGCCCAACAGATTGCAGTTCCCCGTGATCCTTCTGGCACCAGCAGAACTACCCGAATTGCGCCAGCTATATAAGCGGCTTCAGGACCTTTATCCCGAGGCGTTGCAGTTCTTGAAGGCCAAATTGCAGCAAATCAAACAGATCAGGGAATGCAGCGGCCTGGAATGGTCCAGCAACCCCCACAAAATCAGCAGGGACCCCTTCAGGGTGGTCCCATGCCTCAGCAGAGCCCATACGATCAGTTTGCAGTGCCACCAAACTCGGACATGAACAGGGCTCGGGCCCAAAAGCCGGACCAGCCGCAGAAACCCATGAACATGCCACAGAACCTGTTTATGGGCCCACCAAAGGACGATTTCCATGCATTCAACAACAACCCAAACGCTCCCAACGGTCCAGGTGGTCCGGGCGGACCTGGTAACGGCGGCTTTGCCGGCGGCTTCAATGAAAACCCCGACATGCCCATGAACATGCTGTCGATCCTGCCTCAGCAGATTTTGCAACAGCAGCAGCAACAGCAGCAGCAAAATGGCGGTGCCAACGAGTTCCTGATGGACTTCTACTAAGCACCTGTATTTATATGGAACTACGCTTCCCGTTTGTACAAGTAATGTAATATCATACAATGTATTTATGCAAATGGCCCTTTGGCGAGGGCAGCTAGAATAGGTCTCTTTGGAATTCCAGGTTGATGATGTCACTGTACCCGCCAGCGTACCCGTTGGAAGACGAATTTCCATTCATGGCATTCTCCATCTCCTTGTGAAGACGAGCCTCGCGTAGCGAGTTCATGAAGTCATCATTCAAAGCCACGGAACTCTCGGGTTTATTTCCCTGAAGTCCACCCAGGCTTTGCAACCAAACGGCATCGTTGGTGATCTCATTCCACAACTTCTGCTCCTCATCAACGTATGTCAACCCCTCAATACCAGCCAAATCGGCATTGGGGTAGACGTCTCCTCCTCCGAACCCAGCATTGCCAGTATTCTCCTTGAAATCAAAGGCACTTTCCGTGGTCAAGTTCGCTGAGGCCGGTATTGTAGGTGTATGTCTATGGGACGTGGCCTGCGCTGCCGATGGATTTGGTCCATTGAACTGGAGATAATCTAGACTTGCTCGAAGTGGCTCTGGGACTTGCGACAAGGGCTGTGGTTTCGTGAGGTTCAGCTGATTGTTGTGAAGAGCAGCTGCGTTGCCAATGTTGATGAAGGACATGGTATCACCAAAGGCGTTGCTTTCAACATCCATCTTGGCGGCTTCTACGCCATTTGTAGGGGGTTGACCGTCATCGTGCTTGGAGATCAAGTCTTGCATGACGCCGTTGAAATCGAGAACCTTTATAAGCTTCAAGAGTTGCGCTCTTCTGAGAGCCGCTGGGTAGTTACCAAGCTTCTTCATCTTTGTAAAGAGCGTGAGAGCGTGATCTAAATGCTCTCTGGTAGCGTCATGAACTCCGAAAGACGCATTGAATAGAATGAGAGTGGATGCAGAAGTGAAAAGATATTCACGGTCCATCCACCCGAAAAGGGCCACCATGTTTTGTGGCATGAGTGCCCATATAGATTTGATGGTGTTGATAGAGGCCTGGAAAGATGCGTTCAAAAGTGTGAGAACGTTCTTGGAATACTTGGTCAAGTCGACGTAGCGGTTCGAAAAGTTTTGTACCTGGAGCTCTCGGAGCTTCTTGGTAGCAAAATGGAATAGAAGTGGACGAACGGCTAAATTCATACCTTGGAAGTATTCTGTCATCAAATTCACGATCAAACGGTTGATCTTCACGTCATCTTTAGAGAAGTCAACTTGAAGGAAATCCGGAAGTGCCATCTTCCAATTGAATAGACGCTGAACCAAATCAGAAACCACTGGTAAGATGTTGGCTGTGGGCTGTTTGGTGTAAAGGGATGACAAGATGATGGCATTAATTTGTGTGATGGTGACGCAGTTGTTGATGTATTCTGCCGAAGGGAAGATGTAGTAACCTCTAACATCATTCTCATCCTGTGGAAAATCATCAAGATCGATCTTGAAATCGTAAGGCAATTCCGTAGACACACTGTCGTCGGCAAAACTCAAAGGAAGACCTGCCTTGGATGAGAGCATTCTCTCGTACATGTACACCGTCCACCAGATTCTTCTCCTGTGCTCGAGTTCAAATCTGTTCAAGTTCTCCATATCCGCATCAACGTGCCATCCTAAAATTAAGGTGGACCGAAGGGCAAGGCCGAAGTAGAAATAAGATGCAATGGTGCAATCAGCGACCTGGAGGTAAAATGCGTATAGAAGTATGACTTCGATACCGCCATCTTTGGTGATGTTGTCGATAGCTCCAGATGCAAAAAGACCAGTGAAAAGCTCAGATGCCTGGTAGAAGAAGCCAGAACCAGGTAGCGTGTTACGCTTGTTGGAATCCTTCTTCTTGCTCTTCTTCTGACCAAACATGTGTATGCGTTCTTGCTTCGACCTCTCGTGATGTGGATCGGAGTCCGTGCCTAGGTACATTTCACCCACTGCAAAAATCAAAAGAATCTTGCAGAACCAAATCGTCTCTAAGATGGTTTCGTTGTCGGTATCCTTCTTGATGGTGTTTTCGTCATCCGCAGGCCCGACTCTGGGCGCCATGTTTCTCTTGATGATCTTCTTATTCTCGCTGGTGTTACCCAGGTACAAGTTCATGAGAAACCGTTTGACGAGGCCCTCGTTGAAAAAGTAGAAACAGCCGTCGTTGTAGCTGATAAATGTGTCAACAAGTAGTATAGCATATGAATATGACGGAAGTGTGAAATTGACAGATAAACCAGGGCGGGTATTGGTCTTGGCCAACGTGATGTTGTATGCGTTGCCCTCCTTTTCGAGGATTTTGGTCTGTCTGCGTACTTCACTGGTAGCTGTGTCTTGGAAGCTGCTCTGAGAAACGAACTGGCTCTGGGGCGAGTCCACGGGCGTCGTGTTGAGTGAGTTGGGGTGAAGGAGTGAGGATTGCTCGAACGTTGGAGCCATGTTCTGGATCTCGAGCCCGAAAAGGGTCATGGAGGACGAACCCACGTAGACCTTTTCGCCCGTTCGTGATTGGATGAGGCGACCGTACTTGTCCAAAGAAGGATGGATGACCTCCTGGCCTCCGTGCTCGTTCTTGGTAGCAGCGTGGAATTCAGCTTGAGTCTGTGGGGGTTGGGGTGGTATATTGGATCCAAAGCGGCCTCCGAATTGACTAGTACCTGGTTCTGTTGAAGAAAGCGACGGTTCAGATAACGTCGGAGAAACCTTCCTAGGCGCCTCCTTCACTGAGTTTCTCAACGCTGCGTTCTCCTTCTTAAGCCGTGCAATGTCGTCCTGAAGCTTGTATAAGTATTTTCTGGACACAACCAACCGCTTCTCGTACTCCACGTATTCACACTTTGTTTTCGCCATCTGGCACTTCGAGCATGGCTGTCCGCCAGGACACCGTGTGTGGCGGAACCGGCACCGTATACATGCTCTTGCCGTTCTCTTCTTATGTTCTTTGGAGTCTGCTTCGATTTCTTCCTCCTCCTCTTCTTTTATACCAGGAGTGGGGTCTCTAGAAACGTCATTTCCAGCCGGGCCAGGCAGCGCCACCGGCAGCAGGTACTGCAGAGGGAGCTTAGCCGGTAGCTCGTTGTTCATGGGGTTGGCGATGTAGTTGGTGATAGTCCTGAGTTGGAGAAGACCCCTATGTGTGCAGGCACCGGGTTGCACAAACCACGCCGGAAGCGGGCCGGGTCCCTGAATACGGGGTTTTGATGTAATTTTGTGAAAATTTGGGCTCTACTTTTACTTTGATTTTGTCATTTTTGTTACAATCTGCTTGTGTGGTTTGTAGTGCTGGTTGACTCATGGATGAGAAAACCGTTTGTGGCTGCGAAACCTGTTGGGTGAATGAGGGGCACCAGTGAGATACACAAATCGTGTCACGAATTCGTAAAGCCTTATATTTGTAAACAATGGACTTTTTCACATCTCTTTTTTTTTTTTCCAATTCTACTTTCCTTGTGGATTCATGCATTTATCTGTGTCTTTATGTCCCTGGATTAATGTGTCGGTCGGACTCGGGGTGTACTGTGGAGACCCGGATGTCATCTCATCTGACATGAGTCAATCTGCGAAGCCAAGACCGGACAAAACGGAGCGGGATGGAAAAGTGGGACGATGGGATTTTGGCTTATTTATTGAGGATACTTGAAAATAGGCTAAAAAGCATTTTCTGCTTTATATGTTGTCTCTTGTTTTCAAGCGCTATGTGGATTTGACGAGTGGTTGCGAAATCGGCCTTGATGGTGCACCCAGCCATATTGTGTAATCGTAAAACTCCATTGGAGCTGACTCACGAAATAAACCGTGATATTACAAAAATAAAAGAATCATGGGAAAATTTGATAAAACGTTCATTCTGTCATTCTATGGAATCTTTGATGACCAGTGAGGGGTCTGTTTAGAGAAGCCATGCCTCGGGTACCTCGGTGATCTACATGTGGATCTGTTTATTTACCATGCGATGTGGAAGTAAACACAAAATTTTCTGATAAGCTTCAGGGGTACAATGAGCAATAACATGGGGCAAATCTTATCGGAAGTTGCCCACTTCAAAGTATTCCATTGTGTCCCACGTTTTTCAGCCTAGAAACACACACTCAATGACTATGGCCTACACTTTCATTAACTCGTAAATCTCATTCTTTTATATCCATCCCTATTTAGTTTGAAGAAAGGTTCTCCGTACCCAGGCCAACCATGTTACCGGCTGGAGAGTACTCACACACAACGTAAGGGCTGCCGTTACAGTCCTTCTTGGCGCAACCCAACTCGGTAGAGCTCTTCCAGATAACCTGGGTGAAGTGGTTGAAGGTGGTGGCACTGGAGTAGTCGTAGCCCTCACCCTCGTCGTACCAGGCCTTGACAGTGGCCTCACCACCGCCGTAACCAACAGCCAAGTTCTCACCGTACTTGCCGCCAGAGTGCTGCAAGGAAGAACCGCAGGTGTACTTGTCGGCCATGTTCTGGGCGTAGCTGGCAAGCTCGTCAGACCAGCTCAAGGCTGGAGCAGAGTGCTTGGATCTTCTAGAGTTGTGGGCATCCAAGATGTCCTTCTCGAAACCAGAAACATCGGAACTGGGGGAGGAAGAAGCGGACGACTTCGACGAGGAAGGAGAGGATGGTGGAGTCACGGTGGTGGCTGGTGGCTCGGAGGAGGTGGCAGCCTCGGTGGAGGAGTCAAAGCCGAAACCACTGGTGTTGATGAAACCCTGGGTGACAATCAGGACAGCATCGCCCTGGTCATTGTCGTCGCCTTGGTTGTCGTTGTCGTCGTTGCCAGAAGCAGCAACGGCAGTAGCCTGACTGCCGCCAACAAGCTTACCGTCAGCGTCAACGGTAACGTAGTGGGTGTTTGTTTCGTAGAAGGTTCTGGCAGAAACGGAAGCAGCGTAGGCAGCTACCAAAGCGAGGGAGAACTTCATGGTGAAAATAGTGGGTGAGCAAGAATGTGGGAATTGGCTGTTTATCAAGCAAGAAAGACGAGAGCGACGGCAGATAGGAACTCGTGTTTTGGCTTGGTGCTGAGGGAAGAATGGAACAGTCTGGGCAGATCGCGACCTCTTTATATGCTGGGGAAAAATCCGAAATCGAAATCTTTGAAGAGGCTTGTTTCGGGACCCACCAGCAGGGCTTCTCTTGCTGCCCAGTCTGGCCAAACCTAAGATCAGGCACTTTTCTTTTGCACCGTTTAGCGGAAGAATGCCAGCAGGTGGTTGCAAACGCGAATCTGCACCATGCACAAAACGCTGCGTGGTGTCAACAAGGCATGCAGATAAGCGCGCTGGAAAGAAGAAAGTCGCGCCAGAAAAAGGAGCGTTTTGGATCGAAGGAGCCCCGGCCTGCCTCATTGGGCTGTTCTCGAATCTCAAGCTTTTGAGAGAGCGCATATAAATTGCACTCAAAGTTTGCAGCCAATGCCTCACTGGCTGGACGTGTTTCGGCAAAAATGGGTCGCAGGGGTCCAGATGCAAGGAGATATTTTTCAACGTGGCAGGCGGTAGGTGGCTGAAATTTTCATTGTTGTGAGCTGAGAAAGGCACTTTAATGAGGCACAGACCACAGCTGCACCGCCTATCCAACACCTTTCCATCAACAGCCCAGATCTTGGTGGCACCGTTTTGGGTACCACTTTCGTAGAAAAAAAAGGAAAAAGCAAAAAAACGGGCAATGCCGGTCGAAACAATCCCACCTTGCGATTGGCTGGCGGGGACCTTCGCCTCTCTACCGCACAATAGATCAAAGTCTAGAAACGTTGGTGGCTGCGCTGCCCTCCTGTTCTCAACAGTCGCTGCACACCATTAAGCTCATTTGTCGTCGCTAAGATCTCCTTTGTCCCTGCTGCAACCACTTTTTCTCTAAACGGCGGTCTAGAGCCCCACGGCGTCCACATACCTGATTTCGTACTTGTCCTCGCAGTACTTCACCCAATCACGGAGAAACCGGTCGCCGCTGCGTTCTAGAGTTTCCATGTCCCCTATGATGCAGAGATGCCGTTTCGGTCTTGTCATCGCCACGTTGAGCCGTCTTTTATCGCTGAGAAACCCGATTTCTCTTTCGTCATTGGACCGCACCAACGATACCACTATAGCCTCTTTTTCTCTACCTTGAAAGCCATCGATGGTCGAGACCTCCACTGCCACCTCAAGCTTCTGCAATGCTTTCTTCAAGACCGCCACTTGGGCGCTGTAAGGGGAAATCACTCCGATCTGCTCCGGCTTCACTCCTGCTTCGATCAACTTGCCGATGTGCTGCACTGCAACTGCAGCTTCCAGGTCGTTGTACTTGGACCCACTACTGGCCAAAACGCTTTTTCCGTCATCGCCCTCCACTCGTTCGGGAAAGTCCCCGCCTTGCGTATCATACCACACACACGGTATCTGGGTGTCGTCTGTTTCGTCGACGTCCTTGAGGTCGCGGAGGATAATGTCCTTGACTGAATCGGCAGCTTTTAGCTGGCCACCGTAAAGTGTTTCCGACGGGAATTCCATGATCTCGGTGTTCATTCTGTACTGAACATCGAGTAATTTTTTGTAGTCGGCGCCGCCGTGATGCTCCATCAAACGGTCAAAGAGGGTGAATTCGAGGTCTGCGAGCGGCTCCAGACCCTTCTTTTTGCGTAGATTGTCAGCTTCTTCCTTAGATTTCACCGTGGCCGGAAGCTGCAAATTGTCTCCTGCTATGACGAGCCGCTTGACCCCTAAATGTGTCGCCAAGGCAATCCAGCACTGCGGCTCAAGCGACTGAGACACCTCGTCTATCACGATCGTGTCGAAGAACGGGTTGTCCGAATTGAACTCTCCGCCCTTGTACAAGTTGAAAAGCTCGTTTGAGCCGGCACCATGCAACGTGGAAAGTATCACTCGGGCATTGCGGAGAAGCTCCAGAACGATTTTCTGCTCTCGTGTACGGAGCTCTTTACGGAGACTTTTCACCTCGCCCCAGAGTGCCTTTCGTTCTCCATATCTCTTGCACTTTTTGATCTGAGTAAGCGTGGAGGAAATGTCCTTCTCAACGTCTCTCAAAATCGCTCTTTGTTCTCCAGCCTCACCAGACAGACTCAGAGATTTGGAAAGGACGTCCAAGGAATGCTTGTGGTTCGCTTCAAGAAGCCTAGCAGGATGACCTATTCTGATGAGATGCTCATTGTTGAGCGATGTCTTTGCTTTTCGGCGACTCTTTTTAGCGCCATCATCTTCGGTGGTGAAAACTGGCGATAAGCGCTCGAGGATGTTATCCACAGAAATGTTAGAGGCTCCACAGACCAAGACTCGTTCGCCCTGGTTGAAAGTCAATTGCTTGATCAACTCAATAAGCGTATATGTCTTGCCCGTTCCCGGAGGCCCGTGTATGATGGTGACTGGAGAAATGTGAATGGCAAAGTCAATGGCCTTCTTTTGTGAATCGTTGAGCAGCTTATCGAAAAACGATGTTCTTGACTTTGGCGCTGTTCTCGGTACGAAAGAGGACTCTCCCAAGAGAATCCGTAAAACTTCGCTTTTGCTGCCTTCACTCAATGTCTCCAACCGCTTCATAGCCTGGAGCATCCGTTTATAAGTAATATAGTTAGTCAACTTCACCACCCACATTCTGGAGTGGTCGTTTCCCGTATTGTTGTACAAATGGAGCAACTTGTCATCAGAAGTGTCTTCTTCTACAGAAACGGTGACAGCCGAGGAAGAGAGTCTGGTAACCACACCCTCCAAAGCAGTCAGCTCAGTGTCCTTGGCAGTAGCAGTCTTCAACTTGTCCAATTGAACAATATCACCAACACGAAGAGAACCTGATTTGATTTCTTCGTCAGGTTGCAGCACAGCAGGATCAAGCCCTAGCTCAATGAGTGATTTGCCGCCTATACCCGATCTCATGTTGGTCATGGTCAAGTTGACGATAGCTAGACCAAAAGAGGCAAGCTTTTTAGGGGAGTATTTCGATAAATACGAGTCTGTGAGAACATTGTCGCATTGCAACTCCAAGTTGATGGCGTTCACGAACTCCTGAGCGAGTTTCTCCTGAGCAAGCATTCTACAATGTCAGTACCAGTTTTTCATGATCATCATGTGGTGAGCGATGTGATCAACGCATCTTGATACTTCGCAATAAATAGCAGTTTGATTTGTGATCCCACTGATAGGGCCCGTCAACATTGAAGCACCCAATGAGAGATCTATACATACAATTGGTTGTGGTGGAGAATACAGAGCTGAGACCTTGGGTAGCGCGGCACGTGAGCCGACATCACGTGACCACACCCATTCCAAAAACCGTTCGATCTCTTCCAGGCAGCACTATTTCTGTTCTCTTAGATCTTGGTAAAGTCGTCGAGGTCACGACCGGTCTGCTTCTTCAAGTAGCTCTTGCCCTTGTCGAGGAGGTTGTCCATAACCAAGTTTCTCTGTCTGAAGTAGCCGCTGACTCTCAAAAGAGAAACCGTTCTATCGTAGCAGATCTCGCCAAAGGCCAAGTACTTGCCGAACCAGTTGCGGAAGTCCACAGAGCTGAAGTGGGAGGTGTCGAAAACGAGACCTGTGTTGCGGTGGATTCCAGCGAGGATGATGGATATAAGGACCAAGTCGAAACCGTAGTGAGTGAGTTTACCGAGCTGGCGTTAGCATGGAATGGAAGATTGGGTTGAGGAAATACATACGGACATTGTGGTTGTTGAAGGGAGAAGAAAAGATGTTGTTGAGACTCCCGATAAGGCTGTGGTGTGTGCAGGCACTGACAGGTGAAAGTGGGCGTATCGGTACAGAGGTGGTGGAGGTTGAAAAAGATCATTAGTGATTTTTGACTTAGGATATAGAGGCGATAATTTTCAAGATTGTTTGGTTTTCTTTTTTCTCGATTTGAGGAAAATGCCTCTGGGTGTGGGGATTGTAGTAGAGGTGCATCGCGCTTATGCTAGAGAAGACCCACCGAGGCAGTGTGGATGGTGGTCTCAGGGGGAATTATTGACTTCAAAACTAGATTTCGATAAAAATGAGTTTAAAGAAAAGAATTATTAGATTGTCGTGTTCCAATGTAGTGCTGAACGTCAGGACCTAGATATGTCTTCTCTTGCAGATGGCTGCAAATTCGTCATCACAGGAAGAAACGAAGATTCAAGAGACGGTGATTTTTCTAGAACTCCATAGAAGGCATAAACCTCAATCAATGGAAATCGGAGAGATAGACATAATGGCACGATTGGTTGCTAACTGCCTATCGGGAGGACAATAGGCCGTCACGACAGAGATGATGGTCAACCAGCCAAGTGACCACTAAACCACACACAGCGTTCTTGATTAAGACTGATCCAGGAAACTAATAACAAAATCCCTTACTAAGAGTCGTAAAGTAGGCACCTCCTTTGAATTCTCGGCACTCCCCAGTGCTGATCTACAACCCCCAACAAGATGACATCTCCGCTTCTCAAGAAAATGACAATTTACACAAAAAGAGAAGGTGTGACTTGAAAACTTTTCTTTCGGCATTCTCAGTCCACTGGACCAATTACGTCTCGCACTAGATCGGGACCTTACGCACCGACCATTGTCTTCGGCTTTGAGCATCAAGACGCTGATTCTCGGCAAAAGTTGAACCAGTGCTTGGGCGACCGGGAAGTTAACAAAGTTTAGCTCTAATTTATGGATTTGATTTAGTCAAGCAAGCCGATGTAAAAACCTCAGAAGCGCTGTAAATAGCACCCCAATGCCTCTGACCTAATCCCAGCTTACAAAAGGGTTCCTTCAATGCGAGTGAAAAAGTGCACCTCATTCTGAAAATGGTCTCAATGGCACCGATTGTCCAACTAAGCGAGCACCAAAACCACTAAAACGCAAATTTCATGCCCATATACAATCAACACTCAAATTTCCTTCATTTCGCTTTTCTCCAATCACCGTAAATCTCACTTTTTTTCCTTCGCCGCATCGGAGCAGCCAAGATGATTTCCTCGTTATCCAGTAAAATTATGCACGGTGCTCGCTTGATCTGCCCTTGCATGGATCTGCAGCCGAGGTTCAGCCCTGGACCCTTGGCGTATAAATAGGCCAGAGATTCAGCGATTTTTCAATTCTCCAAATATGCTATTTCTTGCTTTTGCCTTGTGGCTCACGGCCGTTCTGGCCCTGCTCAGACCAACGCCGCCTTCCCAGGACAGCTTCTACGATGTGCCCAAGAACGTCGCTGATTACAAGAACGGTGATATCATCAGCTTCAGAAACACGCCTGTTCAGGTGAGATCGTTCGTTTTTCCTATGGATGTGAAGAATTCGTGGCAATTCCTCGTTCGCTCCGAGGACTCTTTTGGTAACCCCAACGCTTTCGTGACAACGGTGTTGGAACCATACAACTCTGACCCATCCAAGGTATGGTCATACCAAGCCTGGGAGGACTCCAACAACATGGACTGTGCTCCATCGTACGCTCTCTTGTACAACGCCAGCCACAACACCATCACCACGCAAACAGAAATTCCATTTATCCAGTTTGGTCTTCTGAAGGGCTGGTATGTTGCGATTCCAGACTACCAGGGTCCAAAGTCGGCATTCACTGTGGGTCGCCAATCTGGCCAAGCGGTGTTGAATAACATCAGGGCAGTTCTTAATTCTGGATCTATCACTGGTGTGAAGAAGGATGCTCAAGTGGCTCTCTACGGCTACTCTGGTGGTTCTATCGCAACCGGATGGGCTTCTCAACTCCAACCACTTTATGCTCCAGAATTGAAGGGAAGCATTGTTGGAGCTGCTTTTGGAGGATGGGTCACCAACATCACACTGGTGGCTTTCGCTGCAGACGGAACCATCTCTGCTGGACTTATCCCCAATGCTGTGAACGGCATTTTATCTGAGTATTCGGACTACAAGCCCATTTTCGATCGGGAACTTTCCAGATTCAGAGCTGACCATTTCTATGCTGCTCTGGACGGCTGCCTTGTCAACTCCATCACCCTGTACATGTTCCACAAGTTCTTCAAGGGCAGATTCCCATACTTCAGAGCTGGAGCTGATTTCTTCAGAATTCCTGAAATCGCCGAGATTCTCCAGAACAACACGGCTGGGTTCACGAAAGAAGAAGGTGTTCCCGAAATACCCATGTTCATTTTCCACGGTGAAGCTGACGAAATCGTGCCTATCAAAGAGGCTGATAGGGCTTACGAAAATTTCTGTGAATGGGGTGCTCCATCTGTAGAGTACGCCGTTGCTGAGAATACTGGCCATGTTATTGAGTTGTTCATTGGCGCTGGAGCTGCTTTTTCATGGTTGGAAAAACGTTTCGAAGGTGTGGATACCGTATCTGGATGTCAGCGTACCGTGAGAACTAGTAACCTTGAATACCCAGGTGCTGATATTCCATATCGTCAAATTTTGAGTACTTTTGTCAGAGGTATTTACGGTGCTGAAATTGGAGAGGACACAATTGACATCAACGACTCCACCTGGCTCAGTAAGGTTATTCTGCACGGATTCAGCAGAATTCTTGGTGCAGTTGGTCCAATCCCACTCAAGAGAGATATCACCATGGATGAAGCTGTGGCGCAGAAACCAGTGGAGGAGTTGTATAAGGGTTTCCAAGATGTGAGGTTGTTGTTTGAGGAGAACGGCATTGACCCTGAGAAGGTGCTCATGGGAGAGAACCCCTCCACTGTTTAGATCATAAGTCCAAGAGGCAATGACCAAGAGGCAATTTCCAATAGATAAGCTAATGAAGCTGAAATAGTCGCCGAAAGTAAGTACTACACTATCCTATCATCTATGCAAATTAAATGCTAATGCTAATGCTATGTGGAGTGGATTCTCTTGACAGCCCGACCGGCATCGTCCGAGGTCCACTCACGAAGACGCTTTGTTTGGGAAAGAAGACCGAATCTCACGCCAATTTGGTCAATATTGAGTGCCAACTGCTCACCAGAAAATGTAGTAGGAACAACGTTCTTAGCTGTCTGCATCGACGACAAGCCGGCAAACTTTGTCACCAACATATCTCCACCTTCTCCGCCAACGTTTTGAATTTGATAGACGAGACGGTAGAGCTTGTGGCGCAAATGACCAGTCACGTAGTCGACATTGGCCAAGTTGAGAGCCCATTCCACAACACCCTTGAGTCTGAGAGCATTCAAGTCTTCTTCATTCTTGGTTCCTTCAATGAACTGCTCGAGCATCCACGCAATCTGCTTATAGTAGGTATCCTCCTCTAGATCATCGTTGGAGGTACCGTTGGAAATGCCATGGTACAATGGAATTTCGTATGCCTTGAAGATGGGTGTTGTGAGGATGTAGCGACAGACACGATCGTAAAGGAAATGGCCTGGGTTGATGATGATTTCAGCTAAGGATCCGATTATGTTCCACACAAGTGGTGTTTGGTGGTCAGCCACACGAATGGTATGCAAAATCGACGAAAGGTATACCAACAAGATCGTCTTGTCCTTGAAGGAGTTGTCTTGGTTTTGAACAAACTTGCACATTCCGTGGAGCAAGATTTTGGAAACTTCTCTTGTCTTTTGATGTGCAAGGTTTGCCACGATAACCTGGAAGATCAGAGACTCAATAAGTCTTCTCACGCTGAAAGTAACAACACCCTCCTTCTCCGAAACCAACTCGTCATTATTAAGAATAACCAAAAGCAAGAACTCTGGGTCATATTGTGTGTCCTTGTAGGCCCCCTTGAAACAGATGTCGTAAAGGTTCAGAAACTCTGAATATTTTCTGGAAGTGGGCACATCCAAAGGCTGAATTGGAGCAGCAATGCTGTTTTTAACAAACGCCTTCTTGAGAGCAACGACCATTGTGTTTTTGTCGGTGATAATCAAACGCTCTTCACCAACCAACTCAACTTCATTCTGTGTAAGCTGCTCCAGGAAATCCCAGCTGGTGACCCTGTTCACCCAACTCTTATTAGTCTTGCTCTCAATGTTCTTCAAGGTTTCCTTAAGAAGCAAGTCTTCTGCACGAGTGGATCCTTGATAGAGAGGAAGAATCTGTTGAAGAACGGTATCCAACGAAGACTTGCTTGATTCGATGAAAAAGAGCCTGTTGATCAACAACGCACTCTGAAATCTCAATGGCGCATCCTTCTCCAGAGGAAGCTTCTTGAGAGGAAGCAGCTGGTTGTTGAGATAAATCTGAAGCAATTTGTCTCCATGTACGCCCTTGGCATCAGCTGCAAACAAGAGTTTGTTAGCATACCGACTGGTATTTTCAGATTGCATCCACTGAGTATGACCAAGAAGAACTTCTAATTGGGCATTGAGAATGGTGTTTGGACACATTCTCCAAGGGTGCTCCAAAGTCTCTAACAAAGCCTCCATTGACTCCAAGAACGTGGTGAAGTTTTCAGAAAGATCCTTGGACTCTGCAAACTTCTTGGTTATGTAAAGCATGCACTTGTGGAACCAAACATTGAATCTTTGCTGGTGATCCTTGATAGCAGTCATATTCTGCGCAGCTATGGCACCCACAGCTTTGGTGAAGTTGGTCGAAAATCCAATTTTTGTATCACGTTCGAAGTTGTCGAGAAGAATTTCGGCAATCTTGTTTTGATCAAAGACTTCTGGACACAAAGCGAAAATTTTGATCGACCATGTCCAGTTATTCAAGCTCAACGCCAAGTCAACAGCACGTTTTTCGAATTTGGTGACAATCGCCTTGGAAGTGGATGCAACTCTGTAAAGAAGCTCATCTTCCACTTCATCGGTAGCCAAGATCTGGCTGACGAGAGCTTCGGTACTGTTCTCAAGCAAGTAATGCAAATCAGGATTCTCGATGATCAAGCCAAGCTGAGAGGCAGGAGGCTCAAACTGAGAAAGAATCGATTTTATTTCTGGGTGGTTGAGCTTGTTCAACAGAATCAAGTCGGGACTGTACTCCACATTTCTTTCAAGAACGGTCTTGAGTGCCTCAACGACCACATATTCATTATCGACGTTCTGTGTGAGTTTGACCAACTGCTCGTTAGATAAGACCATCAAAAACTTGTTCAAAAGTTTCTGGTTTGCAGCGGAAACCTGCTTGTTGAGCTTTTCAAAGACAAATGAATTGAGCTTCGTCTTGGTGAAGTCGGCGTCTAGTTGTCTGAAAAGCTCAGCAACCAAAGTTACTGCCAAAGTTTCGCTTTTTGACATTTCGTCGCTATCGAAGGAATTCTCGAAAAACCAGTTACGAGGGTCGCTGATGAATGCAAACAACATCTTGTCGTTGAGACCTGAGCTGATAAGGTAGTTGCCGAGTTTTGAAATGTGATCAAAAATTTTCGAGTCATTGACTCCGTTCTTGACGTCCTTGTTGAAAACGTAAAGCTGCTGTGCGAAGTCAAACTTCTTGGTCAAGTTCTCTTTTGGCTTGATCAGCTTGAGTTTGAGATTTAAAGGAACATCATAATCATTGGAGAGCTTCTGGAAGGCGCTTGATGGTTCACCCAACACAATAGAGTCGGTAACGAACTCCGACAACCAGGACAATAATTCCTTCTCTTTCTTGTAATTAGGAATGAACTTGAACTGTTCAAAGAGCACGACAAAAAAGATACTCAAATCATTGTACTCCATATGTGACTTGTCCAAGTACTTGTATGGGGTTTTGACTGCTCTCGAGATGGTCTCATCAAGGCAGTTCCAGAGCTTTTGGGCCGAGGAGGAGCTGATGATCTTGGAGCAGGCCTCGATTAATGCATAGAAAGGCGACTCAATCAAGCTGCTCAAATTGAAAATTATAGCAGTGGATGTAAGCTTGGAAAGAATTGCAAGCGTTTTGGGTTTAAGGAACTCGATGTTGGAAAGCTTGAGCAAAGAGACAAAGAACGAGTTACCCTTGGGCAGCTTGCTCCACCATTTCAAGTCGTTGTTGGACTGGATCGAGAGATAGTTATCAAGCAATACCAAATCTTGACTGCTGCAGTTGTCCAAATCCAAGTTTGCGAGATTTTCCTTAACTGCTGCCACAACTGCCGAGGAAGATGAAGAAGGAGCTAATTGTTCATAGCTTTTCACGATAGTGGTGGTAGTGAACTTGATGAACTCGTTCTCGTGAGAAAGCAACGGCAAGTATGAAGCCTGTGGTGGAAGATTACTCAACACAGAATCGACAAGCGACTGAGGCGCTTTATTCTTAACAAGTCTGTTGAGAGTGAGCAAGATAAGCTGCAAGCCAAGCTGCTTCACAAGATCATTTGTGTAAGCAAGACAAGCAACGAGTGATGCTGGTGACAATGGAGGAAGGGAGATGAAGTCAAACTTGACTGGAAGTGACTCGGACTTGAGGATCTCACTGTACAACAAAGTGTGGCCAATCCAGTACGAAGAAAGCGAAGGGTCGTGGTAACCACCGGAACTGGAAACAATCCAGTTCATGTAGGGTGGAAGCAACTCGGTGTTGTGATTAATGATAGTCATGACGTATTGAAGCTGGGTGTAGGATTCCCATGGCCGAAGTGCAGTCAAAAGAGTGTAAATGAGCTTGTTGTTGATTTTGAAAGTCTTGTTGTGGACGGTGATTGGGAAACCAAAATCATTGAGAGGGAAGGTGATACCCTTTTCTTGGTCCGTCACCAAAGTGTCCATGAGACTGGTGAAGGAGGACTTGAATCTCTTGAACTCGTCCTCGTCCTCATCGCCTTCTCTATCGTTCACTGGTTTAACAAATGCAAAAAATGAGCCAAACTTGAACAAGAAGTTTTCGTTCAAGATCTGACACTTGGAGATGCGTCGGAGAAGAGGCTCCGACAACACGCTCTTATCGATGAATTCAATGACGGCGATAAGCACCTCGTAGCGGTCCATCTCCATGTACTTCCAGAAGTTGTTCATAATTTTGAAGTTGGTCAAGAGTGCTTTTCTGAGGATGGGTGACGATTTTGCAGCCACGGCCATGTAGAAGTTCATAAAGTGGAGACGCATGGACTTTTCGGTGATGAGTTTCCTCTCAAAGTCGTCTTTGGTCGGTATAAGGAGCTTCATGAGGGACGAATGGTTAAAGTCGATGGAGTCGGTGAAATCACTGAAAAGCGCATGGTTACTGTAGTTGACCAAAGCGAGAAGCACACGGAGACTGGGGTTGATTGCCGAGGGCTTTCTGAGCGAGAAGATCTTATAAAAATGCTTGAGGTGGTGATGGAGGACTTCTGTGTAAAACTCGGTCAATCTGTCACGTTGTTCGAGGAAGTCTAGCTTGGCTTTGGCCTGGGTAGTTGTCAAATCCTTGTCTGCAGCTTCGTTCAAAATGAAGTTGACCACCTCGAGAATCCCGGCTAGTCTCAATGTCGTCTGGGCGATTTTGGAGATATCTGTTGCTGCCGCAAAATGGCCAAAGTTCTGGAGGGTCTTCATCAAGAGGCCCTTTTGGATGAAGGCGACCAACGGGGAGAGGTCGTCAAAGACACCTAATTCCGCGACATTCTGCAATTCCGAGAGCGCAGCCGAGTCGATATTTGCCGTCGAGTAGACGGACTTTTTGTTTTTGGCGGACATTGGCAGGGTGATCTGGAGATGGAGTTTGAGTAAGGTGAAGAAAAGAGAGCGATGCTTTAGGCACGTGCGAGGCACGTGATTTGAACTTGGGGAACACGTGAGTCACGTGACGTGGCACGTGACAACTACTCCCCGCAACAAACAATGGGTGTCTCGAGTGATCAGCGGCAAGATACGAAGGGCAGTACA